TCTAGTATTTTGTACGCCTGTATTTTAGAGCCAGCTCTGGTACCTTTATAATAGAGCTTGATGAATTTTTCCTCCGTTGCTCATCTTTCTGGCTTTCCATGGAAGCCTTTGGCATCTACCACGCCTCTGGCACCCATGAAGCTCAGCTAAGTTTTGTTATGAACCACCTTTTGTTTGTTTGAACGTGCTGCCTACTGATTTGATAGTTCCACCTCTTACAAAGGGTGTTGTTTCCCACAATGAACAATAAATCCTTGTTCACCCCATCTATGACACTTTTTATGGGCCTCCGTATGTTATCATCTGTCAGGAATCCTTCTGGGTTCATGGAACTGATTGCAGTTTGCCTTTGTTGTAGCTACCTCAAGTAACTCGTTAGTGCTGACAAACTGTCACACTGGTCACTTGAGTTTCCAGCGCTGTGACACGTAATTTGAGAGCATGGCCTCAGCAGCAATGGAACCCTGCAAGAAGCCAGAAATAACACCAGAAGTGCTTTTTGGAAATCTAAAAAGACAATAAACTTGTCTTCACACCAACCAACTTCTTTGAAAAAGCAGCCGTTGTGCAGCATGACCTCCTCTCACAAATGCTGTGTTGAGTCATTCATCTACATACATACTATTGTTATTCTTTAGACAAGTTTCTATTAATTTAGTTGGGAGAGTTGTCAGGCTTACTTTCAAAATTAAGATTACATACTGAAATCCAAAATTCCAAGGGATCCAGCAGCAACATTGAAGAGAAACAAGATGGGGGGGTTGGGTGGGAGGGGTGGTGTGTGTGCAGATGTTGAGGCTTTTAAATTTAACATACTGTTTAAATACATGTACAATTACTTTTCTAGGGGTATATTTATAAACTCACATTCAAAGACACACATTGTACACTGCAAGGCAGTTTTGAATATGAATTTTGGCAGGCTTTAAAAATCTTCATACACCTCAATAGTCCATCCAAGAAACTACAAAAATCGGTTCAAAGTGGGAGGAACAGGATCTTGCTAAATTATAGTACTTTGGCTTTGCAGATTGTGAGTGTTTATTAAATGTGTCCCTTTCCCCCTCCAGAAAAGGTCCTTTTTCACTTGCAGAGCCTAATTATACTATGTCGACAAGTTACAATATTATTAAACTGGCAATACTGCACATGAAATACAGATACAGATAATTAAAAAAGCCCCTTAGTAACACTCTAATGTAGAGAACACTTCTAGAAAGAGCTCTCTGCAAGTGCAGCAATGCTCATTAGTTTTAAAATTAGTACAGAAGGCTTGGAGAGGAATAGCTCTGGGGTTGGGGGGGCTGGTGGTGGGGTGCTGTGAAAAAATTGGTGAAATTGTGATTTTGCCACTTCCACATTAGGAGGGTAGATGGTTAAAGCTCTATTTTATCAAACACTGTTAACAATAATCTGAAACTTTAAAGGTTAAAGTATTAAAAATTAACAGCACTTACTCAGGGCTTAACTTCTACGAGGTACAGACAGTAAATGGCAGAAGTCACACCAGCATAGGAAACATTCCTTGTTCTGCTGATGTACAGGTAGGGTGCAAACAGATGTTCAGCTATTCCAATTTACTGGAGTAGTCTAGAAATAGTGGTATACTTCATGGAATTAAACTAGTAAGAATGCTAGAGACAACAACTGATGACTATTTGCTTCTGCCTTTTCAAATAGTTGTTACTGTAACTGAACTTTTTGTAGTTGGAGTAAACTATAAAAAAAAAGACAATAATGTTAGTTACTTGCTAAGACAACATGGTAAAAGCCAAAGCAGAAAATAAAAAGGAAATTAAAACATTATGTGGATGTGCTGAAAAGACTTTGCAAGGGTCAGAGGCAAGTATGTGGCTTTGATTTGAAACAGAAATATTTCAGTTTACATATATTTCAGCCTTTCTGTAAAAGGTAATTATTTTTAGTGCGCACACGTGAGAGGAAGCAACTTCTGGTCATAACATGAATATGTCTACACTCTCCCAGTCTAAACGCTCCCTCAACTTACTGAATACACTCCTCTACACACACTGCTCACAGAATACCAGCAAGATCAAGGCAGGTCCTTGTCTTCAAAAGCTGGTTTCACAACCTGGGTTTAGCACAAATAAAATGTCATTTCACAGTTTGGCAGGAAGTCCTCACTACAGAAGAGCTGTACTACTCTTAATCTGTATGAGGTGCTGAAGCAGGATGCTCTTCCTTCCCCTGAGGTCAGAACCACCAACCGTCACTATCGTTTCTCCCATCACCATCCCACTGGCCATATTCCTCTTCCCCTAAGCCCAACAACAGTGTCAGTATAGTTGCCAAATTCATGACGGTATTGCTTAAGTCACATCTAAATGTAATTACACTTCTTAAAAGCCCATCTTATTTTTGTGTTTCAGAGAAACACATCATGACAGTTGTGTCTTGCCTTCAAGACGCAACTGTCATTATCATCTATCCACAAAATGCCTTAGCATGCTAGCAAGCACTGAAGCATTTATACTTTCAAAATTAAGCTTAGAAGCAGTATCATTTGAAAACAACTCTCCCCTTCTGTTAGGAGAGCTATACTATCTGTAACCTATACAACATTAAGCACCAGTAAGCATTGGAACCTGCTGTTCCCCACAATGAGGTACTTAAAGTCTCTATCCCATAACAGACACTCCCAATATATGCAAAGCACCAGTTAATTCATAGGAGGAGAAGTGAGAAGTGTTCAAAAATTAACAGCTGGCTAATGAAATATGCTGTATCTTACTGCTATGAAGACAATCAGAAACTTGTATTTTTGAAAAATTGAGACCTGGAAGCAAGAAGAAAAGATTATCATGGCAAATTGGAGATAGATATGATGGATGACAGTGAACTGGAGGTCTTACTTGATTTCTAAAGGTTGCAAGGAGATTCACAGGAGACAGAGCTGGAGGTACCTAATTCAATTCAGAATTACCTTACAAGGAGGCAACCATTTGCAATCCTTTTTAAAAAAACAAAATAATAACCAGAAACAAAGATAAGGAAAGTTGTTTGCCCTTTCAAGAGGAAAAAGAGGTTCAACTATTTGACCGGAAAAAAAAAAAAAAAAAAGAAAAAAAGGAAAGCCAGATTATCCTTTTATTGCTTTATGAGAAAGAAGGCATCTGTTGAATTCAAACATGAAGGTACACATCAGATCCAATGATCTGAGGACACTATCACAGAGACAAAGGCTTTGTTTGTAAAAAGCAAACGGAGATTATGGATTCAGGAAAGGGTAGCTTATGAGACAGAAGTGCTTGCAGATATGCTGCTCTTTAGTATTCTGTAAAGCAATTCACCAGAAAGAGACCTAATGCTTATTTTGATTTGCCAAGATCAATAAGACTGAAGATGTTTCTAAGAAAATCTCCTCAGCAATAAGATCTTATACTAGATGACCATGATGAGAAAGTGATCTGCATTTAGACTGACTATGGCTCTTACTCCTTTAAATGCAATTTTCAAATTCAGCACTTGTCCTGTTTCACTCTAAATAGTGCCTACAGTGACTTATTCTTATGCAACATCCAGAGAACTCCTGCTTAAGAATTTCACAAGTCAATACATCTACAGTTTTTTCCGCTAGTCCATGCAATATCATGAAGAACTCAAACCTTGTAACTTTTTATACCACTTCTGATGCCAGGTGAAACTACATTAAGCATTTTAATTTTCATGTGCCATCTTGTTATCCTCCAGGAAAACAAAGAAAACAGGATTGCATTAAATATGTCTTCAAACATGACATTAAAATGCACAACTATGAAGATAATAAAAAAAATTAGTTTTGAAGAAAATAGAAACCTGATTTAACCCTGAGGTTACTCCAAACTACTTTGGTTTCAAGCACCCAACTCATGTCTAATGTCCAATAATTAACTACATAATAATCACCTAGTAACATTTTTGACGTTATCTTAAATAGACAAGCAGTGCAGCAAGATCAATGTAGACGTTGTATTTTCAAAATTATTTTTGTATTCACAACTGCTGTCTCTTAGCAACTTCCAAATATAGTTGAGGGTTTGATAAGTGCTCTATTTAGGCTGTTTTAGGAAATGTTTCCACTTCAAACTATCTTTTCCAAACATTCAACAAAATAAGTTCCTGTTAAAATCAAAATAATGTATTGATTTTGTCTCATCTATAGAAATTAGTTAATCTTTCAGCTTTCTGTTTGGAAAACAGCTATTTGAATACAAAGTTTGCTGTCAAACAGTTTAATTCTTCATTTTTCTACAAAACTGAAGATGATGACAGTTCATAGGGCTGCTTTCTCACACTTCCTCAGAATGCTGTTGCTCCTCAGGTGCTATTTATTCAGCCCTGTGTCCTACTTGGACATTGAAAAAGTCTTGCCTCATTACATTGCATTTCTGCAGTGTGCCTCTCCTACCAGAACTTTTCAGCCCCATATTTGTTCTATACTGATAACAAATTGAGTGTTATTTATGCATCTCCTGTGCAACATTTAGAGGTGCAAATAATGGTTACATTCATGAAAAAGAAAGTCTGATAAGGGAGCCTGACTGATATAGATTAACAAGTTTTTTTAAGGAATGGAAATAAATTCCTGAGAACTGCAGACAGCTTCAGCTGCCTTTATGTCTGTAGAGAGTATCTTTTGTTCCTTGTACAGTATTTGTATTTTTTCCCCCCTTATAGTTTTTCCTTCCTGCTTATTGAATGTGGTATCAAGGAGTTCCAATTCATAAAAAGAAGTTTAAGGCAAGGCAGTATTTAATGCAACAAAACTACATCTTGATCATGCAGCAATGACATGCTTAATTTATTCTCAAACGGGAATCTATAGAAGTCACAGAAAGCCTCACCTTCGTTTAATGTTACCTTTTATACATAACATAAGCAAGAAACAACATACTGCATGACAGAGGGTAGAAAGAACTCATGTTTATCACCTATAAGCTTTTCAGCTGATTTACTGTTTTATGCTAACCTTACTAAGCACAAAAATACACTCTACTCACCAAATAAATTGCTCGAATGTCCTTGCTTAGATATGGGTTTCAGTTCATTTAATCCCCATGCGTAACGCTTATAATTATCCCAGGCATGTTTCATCATCTGTAGGGAAACGAAAGCAGGATTATAATGTTGATTTAGCAAGAAACCACGGCAAATACTGACTTGAGAATATTTTCAATATTAAACAGATTTAATTCAATGCTTAGTTAAATACATGTTGTATGCATCAGAACTACGAAATACGCAATACAGAATAACAGTGGCACTGTTTGCTGGGTGGCAGTGGGATGGTAACCGTAAAAATTCCATGTCTGTCCCATCCACCTCTACAGTTATCTACATGCTTATAGTCAAGACACACTCAAAAGTAATTAATTTTTAGGAAGGGAATTCATGGAGTTATGTATTAATTCAAATAAGATTTTATCTCCCTTAAGCATACATCTCAAACTGAGGGAAGTAACGTTTTTAAAGTAAATTTTTCTCCTAGAGCAGGAATTCTTAAGCTCAAAATTAACCTCACACTAGCTTCCAGATTCTAACAGAGACTTTCTTGCATAAAACTAGTCGGTTCAAACTCAGTACAGCTCATAACAGATGAAGGAAGCTAAAGTGGGCAGACAGAACACCTAGGAAAGGTGTTGAGGTTATTAGGATATAAACTTCTATGAATATAAATTCTACTGTATGCATCTGTAGCTACTTGCACATGTAATTTTGCACAAATAGCTGAAAATTTTTACAACTAAACATATCACTACAAAAACATGCTTTGTATAATGCAAATAAATATTGCTTTGGGAAACTGCCTCGGGGAACCCAGCACAGCAGCTCTGCGATAAGAGCAGAGGACATGGGCATCGGGAGCCAGGGCCGTGGGTCAACTCAAGGACACCTCACCCTCACTACCACCACGATCAGCCAGAACTCGCCCAAACTGTCCTTTTTGGGGGTGGTCCGGGTGCCAGGAGCCCATCTGTCCCTCCTCAAACATGCGGCGAGGACAAGGCACGCAGCTCTGCAGGCCTGGTGAAGAACCACTGCCACTGCAGCAGGTCCAACACCTCCCTTTACCAACCACCACCTGTAAGGCCTGCTCAGGAAGGTTGAGGGCCACCACCAGCAGCCCGACTTTATTTAACAGAAGGAAAGATTTTTGCCTCCAGGTTGCCCCTCCTCCCCTCTTCCACAAGACAGAGCAGATGCTGAGAATGCCAGAGGTCATCTTCTAGACAAAAGGTGACAATTTCAGACCTTTTCAAAGATAGTGCTTCAGGCTGTCAGTTGACAGCACTGCTCTGCCCTTGCTTTCAGACCTCTTCTTCAGGCCATGTGTGTCAAGGATAATTCTGTTATATAGCAGTTATAATCCTAAATTTAAAAGCAACAGCCTTGGGACACACTGATAATGGTAATCCTGCACTTTCTTCCTTCCTCTTCCCTTTGCTCAAATCACATAGAGAAATTATGTCAATTAAAAATCTGTATTATGCCAGACTATAATAGAAGACAACAGATTTTGTTGAGTACTGCTACACTTGTGAGAATAAACATTTCTTTGCCATTTATGGAAGCATAAATACACATCTGTCCTGCAGGAAAATTCAGGGATGTTAAATTTACTCTAGAGTCCTTACAGGCTTAACTTTACAAATGCAAAAATTGGTATCTGCATTTAATACATGAGCATTTCCAACCAGAAGGTTAGCTCGGTGTCAGATCTCAGCTGAAAGGCAGCAAAAGTAAGAGGCCCTGTGGAAATGGTCTCAGGCCTTGGATGGCACCGATATGCCAGATGGCAGGAGCTCTGACCTCACTGCAAAATGGCTTAGGAGCTCTCCAGGGACGGGGCATTTTGTCCCAACTCAGAATTGGTAATAGGCAGCCAAGTGGTAGACTTTATGTCTATGGGGCATTCCAAATCCCCGGCTACAGGGATTATACGAAACCAATCATTTAGCCACACCATATTTTCTAATTTACCAATTGAAACTTTCTGGTAATTTTACATTATTATACAAGGAGGATTTTTTTCTGCCTTGACATCATGTGCCAGACCTGCAAACTCAGCTTTAGATAGTAATGTACAAATTGTCAAAGATTTCAGCAGGCTAAATCCTGCTCTGCACTGAACCTGACATTTACCGTGCTTTGCCAAAGCTTTTTTTTTTCTCATAAAATCACATCAGAATTTTTTAATTTATTCAATCTTAATCTGGGAACACCACACAGAAGAGCTTCTTTTTTTCTTTTTTTTTTTTTTTAATTAAACTTGTAATTAACTGGTCTGAATCAAATTACCCAAAAATGCAGTATTTTAACAAAATTAAAATTGCTCAAGCCAGTACTGACATGGTTCTTCCCTTTTCCCCTCCTTTTTCTCCTAGCACATCCCTGCTCCTTCTCTTGTGTAAGAGATGCAGTGCTCATCTATCCCCACACCGAGTCAGTTCAGGAAACAAAAACTTTTGCAAGAGAAATTTTTGGTGTGAGGATCATTTTTGTCCTGTTTCATTCCCCCAGTCAGACTGCCATGAGTATCAGAGTTACTAAGCAGGAGAGGCAGGAACAGCCCCAGACCCAGTTCAGTTCAACCAAAACAGTCATGAATTGCAGGAGGCTACAATATTTCCCACAGGTGCTCAGTTGCCTTTTTTTCCAACTGACATTTTGATCATATTGCATTGTAAATGCATGTGTGAGCTCTTAACAGAAACCACTCTGATTACCTTATTGTTAGTCAACCCCTAGATAGTAAGACGGGAAGCTAGGAACACAGTAGACACTACCTTCTAATAATATTTATTACTGCATGTTAACGAACAAGAATTGTTTTGGGTTTTTTTCCAAAATGTCCTCCCATTTTGCTGAATCTAACGACTCAGGTACGTTTGTCTAATTGCTTCTTAGGAAATTGTAAGGTGTGATTCCAAAAAACCAAGCAGACAGACAAAACCAGTAATTTGAAAAAAACCCAAAACTTTAAGAAATATTTCTGTGGGGAAAAAAAAAAATCACCAGATTCTAATAAGCAAGAGATCTAATTAATCTCTTTTGGCTAATCAAAGTATTAATTTAGAACTCTTCCAGAAAGTCTAGATTTAGATTAAAATACCAAGCTTAGTAAGTAAGTTTCCTCCTAAGAAAATGCACCTTTAGAACATCCTTGCTTTAGACATTTGGACCTTTTTGGAAATAACATTGAAAGCAAAACACAACTCCAGAAGCAGTCAGTAAGTCTTCTAGTGTTTCCAAAGGACAGGAGTTATTCAAACTATACACAAGTATGAATGGCTATTTACCAAAATGTTACTAGGACTCAATGTTACCGTAGTTACTGGGCAAATAGCCCACATATATAGTAGTTTAAAAAAGCTACCTTCATCAACACTGCCTGACGGACAAGTGAGTTTGGGCTTCTAACCTAGCAAGGAGTCTTAATTTCTAGAATTCACAATGCATCAGAAATACTCTACATGCTTTTCCCCATGTGGAAATTACAAAACTATATTAAGTTTCCCACTAAATGAGTTTCCTGTTTTTTAATAGCTTTATTTTCTATTAAGAATGAAAAAGTTCTAAAATATTGAGTAGCAATTTGAATAGACCCTGCCCACTAATAATTACTGTTTGCTTAGGGAAACTCCTGGCACTGGTAGTTCAGGAATGAATACTAACAGTTTTTTGGAGAAATCCATCTATCTTTGCAGTCTTTGCCTTTCTGTTTGCATGAGACATCCTCAAATCAGTATCTCCAGAGTTTTTTAATTCACAAAGGCCCTTTTGATCACATCTCTGACTACTTGTACAAGTATTGTTGATGACTTGAAATGTCTAAGTAAAGATCACAGTTACTGAAAACATCTGTATTTCAACACATTATGGATCCTGTTAGATAAATAAATTCCTAGTGATGGAAGAGTCTAACAGCTTTTGACCAGATGGTTCCAGACACTCTGACTCCTCTACAGTGTAACTAATAAAATTATTTCACCCAAGTGCTTATTCGACCTCTAGGATGTCAATAGGCAGAGTAACACTTGCACAGATGTATTCTTCAGTCCTTCTAGTTTTACTAAGATATGTTCATTGAATCTTAAACTCTAGAATAGCCTGAGAGCTCACTGGGAATCCCCATGGCTACATTAGCAAAGCCCATTTCTGATGGAGCTCTACCTCAGGTCACTCACAATCAGAAGCAGCAGCTGAAGGCTTGACTAGCTAGCATTGTTTCACTAGTAAGCTGGCTGCATTTACATCTTCGGGAAAAAATGGGGCACTGATTTTTACTTTTGAAGTCAGAAAGTGTCAAAATACTACCCTACCTCTGTTGAAGAATAACTAAGTGTGCTATTGTAATTGGTATCAGCAAATCCACTTAAAAGAAAAAGGTGAACATTATGCACAAAAGGACCTATGCATCTCTTTCTTTAAAGGAAGACTTCTGAAATAAAATTTTTAAATCCTTCTCAACCCACTGAACATTAAAAAAAAAAAAAAAAATTAAATATCAGGTTAGTTCTTCAGAAGCAGAAACAAAGACCTTTTCAACAGCTATAATGCTGGCCAACCAAAAGATGATGACAAGGCACTCCCATTTGTTGGTATTTTAGTTACTGACATCTTCCAGAGCACTCTAACACAATGTCTGCAGAGGACACACAAGCCACTTGAAATGTGCAAAATACAATTCTACTCAAACAGGAGTATCCAAGAGTTCAGGCTCTCCACACTGTTGCCAGAAAACAAGAGCGAGGCTGAATCAGCACAGTAATAGTGGTATTTAGATGCAAACTACTGCAGTACCAGGTGGAGTGAAAAGGACTTAATAAGGTTTATTTTTAGCAGTTACATACAAGCTGGGGAGATGTCAAAGGGGACATTAGGAAAAGAATTCAAGCACCTTCTAGAACTGGGATATTAAAGGAAAAAAAATTTCATTGCATGAAATAGTACCATCCTGACCTTCAACAGAGCCATTTAAGCTATGCCAAGACAAGGGAGGAAGGCAGAAGACTAACATACTGGAAGCCCAAGAAATTAAGAGACAAGCTAAAAAAAAAAAAAAAAACAAAAAAACAAACCCACACCAAAAAAAA